TTAAAACATGTTGGATTTTGCACGAAGAAATGAGACGTGTCACCGCGGTCGCTACGTCGAAGGAAAGTGGGTCTTTGATGGCATTTGCCGTGAAACCAAGGCCTGCATCCTTGTACCGGTAGAGCGCAGGGATAAAGATACGCTCATACCCGTTATACGCGCTCAAATATTGCCGGGAATATGCGTGATGAGCGACATGTGTTAAGCTTATGATTGCCTACAGGACGAGGGCTACAATCATCTCACAGTGAACCACAGCCTAAACTTCGTAGACCCAGACACAGGCGCTCATACTCAGCGCATTGAAAATACACGATGGGGAATCAAACGAAGTATACCTTGTACAGGAATATCCAAAGATCTCTTCGGTAGCTACCTACAGGAGTGGTTGTGGCGTAAGCAATATGGAGAAGATCCTCTTGGAAATATAATCGAGCATATCGCCAAATTATATGATGTTCGAAATACATCATAAAAACTAAGCTCCTCGTGCCTCTGTATGTGCTGGCGCCTGTCTACACAACCACCGCGGATGAAAATAAACATTCAATGAAGAGAGAAAAGCAACTCCACTGTTAAAGAGAAAAGGAAAAATGACAACGACAACGACAATGAACAACTTTAAAGGTGAGCATCGATTTTATTTTCATCGTTTTACGAATGTTTGCTTTCAAAAACAACAATTTTGAGGCTAATATGAGGCGGAATTTAAGCTGTTTTGATTTATAGATTTCATAAAGCATAGTAAATTTTTATTTGACTGTTACATATTTTAAATCAGCGCTTGATTAAGCGCAATTTTTAATTAAAAAACGGCGATTTTTTAAAGGTTTGAGTAAAGACAAAAAAAAATTCAACTTCTTGAAAACAAAGCGAATAGTCCCAAAGGTAATCTATTGTTTGCGCTATTGTTTTCTTCTAACAAAGGACTGTATGCATAATGAAGTATGGGGCTGTGCGGAAACTTTGCCGAACTTAATTTTGATCCTGAACAGGATTTTGGTTTGAAGTCAGCCAAAGTGAGTTTGCACATACTAGTGATGTTTGTACTGGAGCTGACCGTTAGTACGAGGACCATGAAGATGACAGAACATCCATTGAGGGAAGTAGTGGTGATGATTCAGTACTGCTTGATGGTGATTATGAAGAAGGTGTTGACGGTGATGATGAGACAGAACCTAAATAAATTCGCACAGGAAAGCTTTCTTTACTTGATGGAAATGAAGCAGAAAATAGGATGTTCCATGAATCATTTTGAAGAGCTCCTAAAATGGGGTAGAGACTTGCATAAAAGTGGAAACATCAATGCTGCAATTCACTGGCCAAAAAAGTGGGATGAGGTGCAATCATTGCTTAAGGAACTGGGCATTTCTGAGCCAAACCATCTTTGGATTTGTTTTAGCAAAGACCTTCCTTGTCATCATTAGGTCTGCTAATATTTCATATTTTTGGGATCCAAATGCAGTGTGGACAGTCCCTATCAGGTGCAGATAATCTAGTTACAATAATGTCATTTCTGCTACTGAAATGATCACTTCACCTGAAGGTGGTGGTGGACTGGAAAGGATTAAGTGTTCATCTTGTTTTACAGTATTCAACCATTCTCCAAAAGGAACACAGGGAGATCCTCATAATATTGCTTATTGTGGTTCGTACCAATAACCTGCAACGTAGTTTCTAGTTTTGCTGTTAAATGTACAGTATATAATATAATAATATTATAACTCCAGCTATATCCGTCGTGTTTTTGCAATATATACTGTTTTGGTGGTTGGACAGTCTGCCAGAATGTCCAGGCTCTGCTAAACATCATGGTTTCCTATAACATTTGGCAAATGATAAGAAATATTCCTTTCATTTCCTTTTCTTTAAAGGATGCTACGATTCAAACTTTTTTTGAAAGTTTCTAGTATAAACATTTACATATGATAGTTTTTTATGAAGTGCTATACATTTTTAACATCCATAGATTATCAAATAATAGATTATACTCATACAAGTAGAGTCTCTGCTTCTGTAGTAAAGATCTGAATGATTATGCAATCTTCTACTGTTTGACATTTGTGTTGACAAAAACAAATGTACATGTTGTGGTTCCATCTTTTTCCTTGGTTTAAAGTTGATTTTCCTTTGTTTTTGTATATTGTAATGTATTAAAATGAGTTTGAAACAAAGGAAAATAGAATTTAAACTAAGAATAAAAATTAACGACAACATGCATGTGATTTTCAAATTTAACCTAGAAAGCTTAGCATCTCTGTTATTTGAATATGAAAATCTGTGCAGCAAAATTAATAATTTAACCTGTCAATGTGTTTTTAGGCCACTAGGATGGTTGGCAGCCATTCTCTAGTACCATTCGGGGATGTGGAGCCATAAAGGTCTCAATAGCCATTATGTCAAAAGCACATCACTGTCACACTGATTAGATATACGTGGTTGCTTTTGTCCCAAGTTACCTCATTCCACAGATGAGAAGCCAGGCTTTGGACCCTTTTCTTGAACCACTGATCAAGGATTTAGAGAAAGGATTTATCAATGGAATTCCTCTTAACTATGCAGCTACTGTTACTGGCATTCCTCCAGGTCCAACTCGTAGATGTCATTTACTGCTTTGTTGGTAAGGAGATCACAATGGACAATGTGAAGTTGGAAATTTTATAAGTCTGGTAAAAAGGGATGCAAATGGTTTAAATCACAACGGGTGTTTCGGCAAGCTTCCAATCACTACTATTACCTTGGTTTTAGATTGCAAGGTAGATTTTCAATGGAAGACAATTCCATACTTGACAGTCTGGAAATCTTAAAGGAAATAGAGGAAGAAGAGCAGATCACTGTTAAGCAGGAAAAATCCAGAAACACTGGGTATATAGGATTGGAAATATTTCATAGACTGTATCCCCTTTATCAATTTCTTTACGATAAAAACTTTGTGTATGACAAAATGCTTGGGATTCCTTTAAACGTTGTCCAACAACAGATTCGACTAGAAAGTGATGACAAAAACTTTAATTGACAGGTAGTTGATGAGCAACTCCAAACGTTCCCATGGACTCATGAGCATAGGACAGGAAGGTTGCCTTCAGGTCTCACGAAGCGATTTGGTCATTGGGAAGCAGAAGATTTCAACCACTTTGCATTTCCTGCCATGGAATCCTGCTTAGGTGGCATGCTGCAAAACAACACTGAAACTCGGGAAATTTTTTGTTGCCTTGCCTGTATTGTCAAATCTCTTGGTAATCATGCAATAAATGGCTGGAGTCAAGCTGATGCTTTTACATTTCATGAAATGTGTGTGAGATATGTTGTACTAGTAGAAGAGTCCTCAGGTATTGAAAACTATGTAAGCACATTATACAATCTCCTGCATTTCAAGGATGACACTACTCGTTTCAGCTCATTAGATGATTACTCATGCTGGACAGAGGAACGGACTGTTAGGCAGCACATTCTTGCCTCTAACAACCACAAAAACATTGAAATTACTTTTGCTTTAAGTGAGGCAAGGCGGGAATTTCTTAAACTGCGGGAACTAAATCAAAATGACGATGTTTTGATACTCCTAAAGTCCTCCAAGCTGACTTTTCTAAGGTAATTAATTAAGTACCAAAAAACCACATAAACTGTGTGACCTTTTCTGTCACTGACAATAATTGTTTGATAGTCAGATGTATCAGATGATTCAGTATGGGGTGCAGGCCTTGTTGTGCTCGGTTCATATCATTGTTGTTTTCTATTGAAAAAAACTGCTCTATTGAATCATGGAGCTATCACTCAAGGAAGTTAATTCCACCCTTTCAGCAAAGTAGGCATGACTGCAAGTAAAGTACTGAGTTTCATACAAGCTTAAATTTCAGTACTCTTTTGAAAATCTTCCAAATTTTCCTATTCCAATCTATGATCTCTTTTGTGTGCATGTAAAAGAAAGTTATGTTTGAGTCATTGTTTACTTCAAAAGGTTTTATTTTCTGATGATATTTTCCTAATACACTCTGGCCATTAATATATTCAAAATTTTAAAAAAAATGTAATCATTAGAATAAGTTTGAATTTGTAAGTATGGCTGGAAAAATTTACTATGGTTATTCTTGAGCAGAATTCTACAGACATAATGAAACTTCCTTTTTTTGGACCAAAGATAGAGTCACAAATCATATCTGATTGTAAAATTGTTTTGATTGAGAGGTTAAATTTAACACATTGATTTAACAAATAGAACACCATAGGATAAAGCTTTGTACAATGTGGACATTTCCTATGTTACACATAACCATATGTGCCGTTTAAAAGAAATGTATAACTGGATTCATTAGTTATTTTAAAGTACTTGTTTTAGGCTTAGCATCTGTTAATGCAGGGTAAAGGGAAATGTAATATGATCCATAGAAGTAAAGGAGATCCGAGACTTGGATTAAGTGTGATAAACATTTAAGGAACTAAAGTGCTCCTTTGACTACATGGTATTTGTGGTTAATTTTCAGGAAGCTTAACACCCTTAAGTCTCAATGTGAACAGCTTCCTCAAAATGAGATTTTTTCCTTAAAAAAAAAAAACAAAACCTCCAAGAGGACAAAGTCCTTCAAACAAGGAGTGTATATCACAATATATGAGAAATAGTAATAGCTGACACAAGTAAACCAGGCCATACTGTATGTGCAACATCAACCCTATAACTCCCAGGAGTGACCAAGACATAATTTCTCCTTACAACATCTGTACAATATTGACAAGATAGGTGATGAGAATAAAGAAAAAGATCAATTGGGGGATAATTAGTTGATCCAATGCTAAATTCTCTGAACTAACATTATAAGAATTGTATGTTTGACAGTGAATAGAATAACAAATTTGCTCTGGGGGTTAAAGGGTTAACTTTTAATTTCAAATCATAACCAGTACTGCATAACACCAATAACATATACATCAGTTACTGGAAAATTAAAAATCCACAGGTAAACAAAAACAAAGGTGTGGCTGACTAGGGTCCCTTTAATAGCCTTTTATTCACAATTGTCCTCCTTTTCCTTTTTTTCAGTCGTTCTCCTGTCCTTCTTTTTCCTTTTCCTTTCAAGCTTACCATGTTCCTTCTCTTCATCTCTATGTTCCCTCTTTCTCTCTTCTTCTTCTTCCTTCTCCTCGTCTTCAATGTCAATTTGTCTTTTGTCTACTTCCTGTCCATCCTCTGGAACAAAAATATAATTTTAGAGGTTGTAGGTTGACCAATAACTGTCTTTTCTTGTTGCTGATTTCAACATATATACGCTAATTATAGCGTTCCTAGTTAGGACAGAAGTGCTTTATAAATTGCCAGTTTAAGTGGGGGCTTAACCAAAAAGGACCTGTAGGAAATGCCCGTAATCCATGGTCTTTGAGGCAATAAAATTCTGTAATGCATGTTTTTTAGTCGAGTATGATCATTACACAGATCATTTTTTTTTTGTTCTGCATAATGAAGTTTCTGATGAAAGTCTGCCATTACCTCATAACACAAGAAGCTGTAATAATTTTTTATTTTTATTCCAATAAAATGCAGTAGAATGCTAGTGGATCAACTACTGTCAGGGCTGGCCACGTTTATCAACATTACAATCAAGATCCCTTACTGGTAGGTTAAATACTGAGTATTATACTCTTAGCTACATGCTTCTCATCTACTTGCGCAAGAACAATTCCAGATATACCTGGGAGTGATTCCTGAAATGAGATTAAAAGAAGAGGGAAGTGTGCCACTCACAATAGTCACGTGTAACTTACTTTTAACAACTAACAACTTAACCATAGCTCATGATAAATATCACCAATATTTAAACCAAGACGAACTTTATAGTGCTAGTTTTGACATTGCCGTGTTGTACACATGAAGAAATTCAGCATCTTGAGGAGTGATAAAGGGCTCTTCTTCGTTGGAGCTACCACTGCCTTGTACACTCATTGTACTTAGGGCCCAGGCTGAATCTTGA